ACAAAATAATGAAATTAAAAAGAAAACAAAACTATAACTGAGATTATAGTTACCTTCCCTCCCCAGTAGAATAATTATTGTAAATTTTAACACTTTACAGTGGCTATTTTGGTGTTAAAAATCTGTAGGTGGGTTATTTGGAATTCCTTCATTTAAATAAAAATGCACAAAAACTTCATGACTTCCTTACTTTACCCCCCTTCCATTCAAATTTTTAAAATTATATTTCTATACAAGGTAGGTACATGGGCTATACAAAGTTAAATATACATATTTACAGTCCCACTTCTTAAGCACATGACTTTTTTTTTTTTTTTTTTTTTTTTTTTTACTGATCCCAGAGAGACTGCAAAAGATAAGGAGTTTGGGGCTTGCCTTTACCCGGAAGCATGGCTAATATATCAAAATGTGTTGCAAGGCATGCCGCCAGTGAGTTGCACTTGCTATTAATAAACCTGTATAAACATTTCAGCATAAAAATAGGTACTTTATATTACTAAATGTCTGAAGACAAAAGAGCAATTGGAAACTTCTGTTCCTTGTTTCATCATACATAGGAAGGCGAAGTGATGCAAATTTTAACACATGATTTTATTAAAGGTGGGCAAATTGGTGAGGCATACCCGAATTTCTGGAGATATACAAATGCGTGAGGCTGGCATCATATGCAAATGTGGCTTTACAAATTGGTTTTATTTTCTAGCTGTATTTAAAGACATGTTCAAAACTACCTACCTAATCAAGAAGCACCCCTCAAAAAAACTATTTGATAAGATAGTGTTGTTAATGGTTTGCGTCTAAGAAAGACCAGGAAACACATTAGCCAATACATTCCAAAACAGGTGAAATGCTGCCGTGCAAACTGCACTTGCATATGCATTTTTACTATATTGCCTCAGAGACAGTAAAACAAACAAACAAACAAAAAAACAGTGCTCTTAGATGGTGGAGCAGACCTTCCAAAGCAATAGGTCTTACTCTTACTGGGTCTTAAGGAAAATCAGGAAGTCTCCTTCTACCCAGAAAGCTCACCTCCTGCAGTTCCATAGCCTTTAACATTGGGATTCCCAAAAGGCCCTGCTCTGTCCTACTTAAAAACAATTGTCTGTGGGAAGAGGTAACACATTCCTACTATCAATCATTTACACCTTAGTGTTAATGAACTAGTGGCAGCTTCTTTCCTGACAAAGGAATTTGAAAGAACAATAGGGAGAAAGTGAGGGTGCTGTGGCTGTCTGGTGGGAGGTGGGAGGCTGGTGGGATCCTAAGATGGGTATTTGTGACAGCAGCTGAAGTACAGGTATTGAAAATAAATTTCGCCTACCTGTAAAGACTCTAGACTTTGGGACAATGGTCCTGGGGTAATTCTGAGCTATATGCAGACAGCCAGGGGTTCCTGTACACACCGCTATCTCCTAGAATTGCTACTCCTATTTGTGAACTTGGATGTGTATCTGTGGGGAAGACGAGAATTTGGAGACTCTGGAAAACATTCCAAGTATTTCCAGCTATGAACTATCCTCAGACAAAGGTTCTTCCAGCATCCTAGTTGTTTAAAAGTGAGCTAATGGAGACAGAAATATGACAATGTATTCTAGGATCCCTCCAGGGAAAATTCATCTCTTCCTCTCTCACACCCTTCTTAGCACATATCACAGTCTCTCTTGATTATGCTCTTTTTCCTGTGTCTGTCTCCCCAGTCACCTCTGAGTTCCTGGTGGGCAGGGAATGGGCCATTTCTGTAGTTGTCTCACTAAGGGGTCTAAGAGAGAGGCCAATAAACATCCTTGAATTGGACAGAGTTGTGACCAAGCACCCCAGGCGTCACAGGGGCCTCTCTCTTCTGATACAACCCCCCGGACAGACGTCCTGGTTGCTGCTGGCAGTGGCAGAATTGCTGCTTCCGTCTGAAGGGAAGCCTTGCCAGGGTGTACTCAAATTCACAACCCTGATTACTACATTTTGTGTGATCCTTGAACTCCCACAGGGAGTAGATCTGGAGCCACAGCAAAGCCTGGGCATGTCTTGCTTATCAGTGTCCCCCCAGCAGCCAGTGTAAGTTGGTGAATGTTAAATTAATTGTTGAACATCATTTTGGTTTTCTATGAGAATAGACCTCCCAATTCCAAACTGTCCCAGACAAACATAAGCCAGAAAAGAAAAGTGAGCAATAGTGCTCTGGTAAGTGCAGCTGCACTGTCCTGAAGATAACATTTTTATAAAAGCCAGGGATGTGGGAAAAGAATGGACCATTCAGTGTCCTTGAGAGCTACAGCGCTTCCTGACTTAATCACAGGAAATACACTTGGTAACCTATCTGCTTGGCCATCTGTTCCCCAGTTCTCATGGGCAAACCTTGTGTGCTTTTCTGTCTGAACACCAGGGCAGTCAACGGCAGTGCTGCACCACAAGCTGAATGCATCGGGAGCCCAAGTTTTGCCTCCATTCCTCCATCCACACCTCAGCAAGTTGAGTGAGGATTTGGTGTTGGGCAGTTTGGGGGACTCCACCTTTGTCTAGGGACAGCCTAGGCAGCCCAGACTGACCTCCAGCAGTGTTAAGAGGATCAGCCAGCTTCAGGGGAGCTGGGAGATGTAGGCTGGGGGTCTTGGTGCATTCTTAGGCTTGAAGCCTTCAGGCTCAATAATTCCTTTGAGATGGGAGCTCTCTCAGGCTGGGGCAGCAGGAGGCATTTCTGACTAACTCTGCTCCTGGACTATGCTTCAGGTCAGATTACCCAAGAGGTGGAGGGGAGGGGAAAAGGTTGGAGTGGCTCCCAGAAGTGACTAAGTAAATACAATTTGCCTCAATTCTTTTTGCTCAGCACACTAGTTCAGCCCGGTCTAATATATAGTAACCTTAGACAGGCTTGGGCTTTAAACACAAGACTTCTCTGTCCCTGTCTTTTGCTTCTTACTTTATCCACTGTATTAATTTTCCTACTGACTCAACTAAAAAGATCAGTTCATGAATGATGCTTCATCCTCCAATAAAAATAATCTCCACGGTTTTCAGTCTTCTTATAGATACAAAGGTTTTACATAGTTGCCTGGAAAAGTACCAAACTGCCTTGTCCTTCTTGAAGTACCTATAAAAAAACACACACATATAAAACATGAGAAGACCCACTCACATGAGTTGAGAGAGCACATTGCAGATTTCTGCTCAAACGCCCCGTGGTAACAGTCTTGCAGCTTAGAGAATACCATATGGTTTCCAAAGTCCTTTCCCCTATCTTATCTCACTTAGCCTGCCAAATAATACTGGGTGGTAAGCAATGTGGTATTTCTAATACTCCTGTTTATCAGAAGGAGGAACCCACGTTCAGAGAGAGGAAGTAACATGTCTGAGGTCCCACCGCTTAGTAAGTATGAGAGGCAGAATCTAGACCCAGGTCTTCTGCCTCCCAGTCCATTGCTCTTTCCAACACTTCTGCTTTGTGGAGGAATTCATACATTTATCTGACACAAGATGACACAGGGGATTCAGATTTTCTAAACTGTGCAGTTTCTAAAAGCCCACTGAGTATGGCCACCCATCAAAAGGACATTCCTATTGAGCTTGTGCCTCAGCTCCCAACTGAGCCCCTGTCTTTGGTACCAATCTTGTTAGGGCTCCTGCTAAGCCAGGAGCGCTGAGCCATCTGGTAACAAAGCCCTTCCTGGGCTGTTCCACATGCAGAACTGCTGATCCTTAATCTAATTCCTTCCCTTGGGATTCTCTCTTTAAAGCAGGAATGGCAGATATATGTTGTGTCATCATTATCCTCTCTTTAGCAGACATCCCAATTTGATCATTACACCCTTATCTTAACTGGCTTAGGCTTGGCTTTGGAATTCTGTTGTACACAGCATCTCAGGCAGCCACTACCAGTGGGTTGGAATTACTACCCAAAGTCAAACTTCCAAACTAAAAAAATATGTTAAAGCTTAGGACATCTAAAACATCTAATTGAACTCCTATGGAGAATGGCCAAGAAGGTTAGAGAACTGAGATGGTAGGGTTCAGAGACAATAAGAAACTTGTCTTGGCTCACATAGCTAGTTAGCATCTTTCCTTATGGATGATAAAAGTGAGTTCGGCTGGGCTACTTTATTTGTAGTTTGAAAAGACTACTTTTCAAAGTGACTGAGGAGGCTGGGCGTGGTGGCTCATGCCTGCAGTCCCAACGCTTTGGAAGGCTGAGGCAGGCGGATCACTTGAGGTCAGGAATTCGAGACCAGTCTGGCCAACATGGTAGAACCCCATCTCCATTAAAAATACAAAGATTAGCCAGGCGTGGTGATGCGGGCCTATAGTCCCAGCTACTTGGGAGGCTAAGGCAGGAGAATCACTTGAACTCGGGAGGCAGAGCTTGCAGTGAGCCGAGTTCATGCCACTGTACTCCAGCCTGGGTGATGCCTCCATGAGAGAACCAGTGCTCCTTCCCACACCTAAGTTCCCATAAAAAAATAAATATTCCTGAAAGAGTTTAACAACTAGTGCATACTAGGGCTGCACTCTCTAAAATGATAGCCACCTGTGACTCCTGAGCACTTGAAATGTAGATAGTCTGAAATGGGCTGTGCTGTAACTATAAAACATACATTGGGTTTCAAAGATTTGGTATGAAAAGATGTATGTAAAATAACTCAACAATTTTTAATACTGATTACATGTTCAAATGATAGCAGTTTGAATACACTGGGTTTACAAAACATATTATAATTAATTTCACCAGTTTCTTTTTACTTCTTCTTCATTTTTTGAGACAGAGTTTTGTTCTTGTTGCCCAGGCTGGAATGGAAGGGCACGATCTCAGCTCACCACAACCTCTGCCTCCTGAGTTTAAGGAATTCTCCTGCCTCAGCCTCCCAAGTAGCTGGGATTACAGGCATGCACCACCATGCCGGGCTAACTTTACGTTTTTAGTAGAGATGGGGTTTCTTCATGTTGGTCAGGCTGGTCTCCAACTCCTGACCTCAGAATTAGGATTACAAGCGTGAGCTACCACACCCAGCTCTTTTTACTTCTTTTTAATATGGCTTCTAGAAAATTTTAAATTTCATGCATGGCTTACATTGCATTTCTATTGGATTGCACTGTACTAGAGTGGTCACTGACTTCTCAGACCTGACTTTCTACTGAACAGAATGACTCAAGGTGGTGAGAGCCATAGGCTTCTGGGGACCTTGGGAGGATGCGGTCATTCTTTAAGAGGCTGATGAGGACAAGGCAAATCTTTTTGACTTCTCATTCACGTTGAGGTCTTGCTGTCCTCACCACTCCAGTTCAGATATTACTTTGCTTTAGCAAAGCTTTGCCAGAAAAATCAGGGAAGAGCTGGTCTTTAGAAAGATGATGAAGGTAAAGCCACTTGTATAGAGAGAAATTGAGGCAAAGAGTAGGTTAGTGTCTCCCAACATTATATTCATGCCTGAGCAGAAAGAACACAGACTTCAGGAGAGATAGGTAGCTTGAGTTCAAATCTTGGCCTCATTCTTTGCTACCTTGGTGATCTGGGCATAGTTACTTAACTTCTTTGGGCCTCAGTTTTTGAATCTGATAAATGAGGATAATTCTTATCTTACCAGGCTATTTGTTGAGAATGTCAATAAAAGCATACCAAATACAGTGTCTTATTTGTAACAGAATCTCAATAAATGTTAATCTTTCTCCTTCTTGTAAAGGCAAATCCATTAATTAAGCAGGCTGCTTTGATTAATATTATTGAAAGGCTGGAGTAAATAAGGTCTTTAGAACATCTACGCATATGCCTGAGTTTCAAGGTAAGAGATATAGGCTCAGTCAAAATGTTTTTGTATTATTTCATAAGGGTTTTAAAAATAAAATTTACAAATGCAAACTAGATACATGCACAACATAAATATAAATGGAAACCCAATTAACAAATTTGACCACTGCTCTTCTGTGCAGCAGATTTGGTTTCAGGTCCAACATTAGCAACATCTACACCATCATAAGAGCAACACAGACTGGCAGCCCAGCCCTCCTGAGGTCACAAAAAGCAGAGAAGCCTCTTCTTTCTATGCATAGAAGATTGCTTTGCTTTTTGCATGGCTCATATCCCCCTGTTATTCCTTCAATACACAACTAGTAAGAAAAGCATGATGAGATTCTTACCAACAAACCATCCATCGTCACATTTTTCCATGACATCAACAATGTCTCCATCTCGGAGTTCCAACTCATCATCATTCTGTGGTATATAGCTATATAATGCTTGATAGCTAAATCTATATATGAGAAAAATGAATATTAAGTGACTCAAAGGTTGACAGAATTAAAAAATGAATTTTTAAACTTCATTACAAGTTCAATCAACATTTCAGTAGAGTTTCCTACTTATCAGTGGGGATAAAATATTTTATTGACTATTTCCCTAATAACTTAGCATTTAAGGAGATGCATTCAACATATAAGTTAATTAAGACTTAGGGATGGAGAACTTCTGACAAGCCATGATCAGTCCTTAGTTTCTTCTTCTTGTTTTGTTTTTTTTTTTTTTTTTTTTTTTTTTTTGAGACTCCTCGTCGCCCAGGCTGGGGTGCAGTGGCACGATCTCAGCTCACTGCAGCCTCCGCCTCCTGGGTTCAAGTGGCTCTCCTGCCTCAGCCTCCCAAGTAGCTGGGATTATAGGTGGTCACCACCATGCTCGGCTAGTTTTTGTATTTTTGGTAGAGATGGGGTTTTGCCACGTCAGCCAGGCTGGTATTGAAGTCCTGACCTCGTGATCTGCCTGCCTCAGTCTGCCAAAGTGCTGGGATTACAGGTGTGAGCCACTATGCCCAGCCTCTTAGTTTCATTTCAAGCAGTTTTATCTAGAACACCTGCCACTCTACCCTGACCTCTGCCTTCAAAGCAGTGGTCCCCATGCTTTTAGGCACCAGGGACTGGTTCCATAGGAGACAATTTTTCCACAGATGGTGTGGGGCAGTGGGGATTGTTTCAGGACGAAACTATCGGGACATTAGATTCTCATAAGGAGGGTATAACCTAGATCCCTCATATGTGCAGTTCACAATAGGGCTCATGCTTCTATGAGAAGCTAATGCACTGATCTGACAGGAGGCAGAGCACAGTTGGTAATGCCTGGGGGTTGGGAACCCCTGCTTTAAAGTAAACCAAGCCTTTTCCTTAATATAGGACAATGTATGTAAATTATCAAGCATAATCAGAAATTATTTAGGCCCAGAGACATCACAGTCTGGTCATACATATGGAGAACATAAAACACTGGTTTTAAAAAAAAAGTGTATGTGTATAATAGCCATATATCATATATATAATAGCTATATATATGGCTATTAAAAGTACATTCCAATTGCCTCACTGTTTAGCAAAACTATCTTGAGTTTCTTTACATGCCTAAACACATTTCATTCACTGCTTTTAAATGTGGATGTCATTTTCCTGAAACCCTTGAAAGCTTTTTGCTTTTTTCTATCCCAGTGAGAGATTGAGGGCAAGATTTTTATTTACTTGCTAGCTGGCCTAAGGTATTGGGTCTGTGCTGCTTTGTCTGCTCTAACAGCCACTGGAGACAGCTGGACTGCTTGTGGTGAAATCTGATCCTTGCTTTGGCATCAAGGAAACACTTTGTTTTTATTTATTTATTTCTTCAACAAATACATAAGAGGCACCTACTATGCACCAACTTCACAACTCTGTTTACTACTTTGAGACACAACAGTAGCAGGCAAAACTGTAAATGAGCCAATCATCCACCATTTCCAGTAGATGTCAATGAATTGCAGTTTGCAAGCAAGAGAGACTAGAAACAGGCAAGTGGAGCACTTCCCAAAAACAAGAGGTTCATTCTGCTCTGCTAAAACCAGAGGGATAACTTCACTCTTCATATTTATCCAAATACATTGATAATTTGGTGAATGGATCTGGTTGTCAGAAGGAAGGTCTCAAATGAGGAATTAAGAGATGCAGACTGATTAATCACAATTGGTAAATACTTTTTTGTTTTCATGTTTCTGTATTTGCCTGCTGTCTCCTACTCAATTTGGATTCCCCTGCTGGCCTCCCCATATATGCCATTGCCAGCTTCTTAGAATGCCTGGGCCCTTTAATTCCCACTATGGCGGCTTTGCCAGCCTCAGCTCTGGGAAATAACTCCAATATCTGCTTCTCTGTTTTCACTCCCAGACAGTGAAGACAAACTGCACAAAGTCCCACACTCTTGCTGATTGGGTCCCCCAGTCAGCTCTAATTTAGAATGAACCTCATACTCCTCAGGACACTGTCCCATGGGGTCCTTTCCCCAGCAATCCTGTCAATTCTGGTGCCTTGCACTCAGCCAAGAGAGCTCTCACTCTGCCCTGACTTCTGGAGATGGAAATTTGCTGTGGGTAGCACCTTAATCCTCTCCCCTTGGATTTCAGTTTCTATGCCTCCACTCACCTTCCTGCCCCTGCTTCCACATGCGAGGAAAGAAGGGTCCCTTCTCCAGGCCATGTTGAACCCCCTTCCTAGGCTCTGCCTTCACTTATATCTTATCTGCATTTGTTGGCATTCTCCTCTGGTACAAATGTGCTTGTCTCTGCACCCTAAAAACACCTCCCATCTCTACTATTCCCTTTATCTGTAGCCCCCCCTCCCCTCCCCGGGCCTTCCACTCACCATCGACCCTTCCTAACACAGCGCCTGCTGCCACCCCTACTAACACTGCCACATCAGAAGTCACGGTGATTTTTCCAGTCGCCATAGAAAATGCCTGCTGGACATTTCTCATTTCCCACCCTTGGCATCTCTGGGGCAGGTGACATTGCTGACCAGATGCTGCAGCTGTTCTGTGAAAGCGAACATCTTTAGAGCCCTGCCGGCATGTCTTGCTGCCCCTTCCCAGTCTGTGCGGCTGGCTAGGCTTCTTTACCTGTATCTCCATTGGTAATCATATGCACTTCCATGGTTACAGAATGCCTGCTTTGTCTTGGCTCAGGCCCTCATGGCTTCTTAGCTGGATTGATGTTTCCTAACACACATCTTTGTCTCTGGTCTATGAAATCTAACCCTCCACTCTGTTGTCAGAGTTATCTCCCTATTACAAAATTGATCAATATGTTCTTACTTCAAAAATCTTCAGTGGCTCCCTAGTACCTGCAGAATAAAATCTAAACTTACTTCAACTGCATTCTGGAATCTGCCATCTGGTCCCACTCCACCTCTGAGCTTCATCTCTATCTGTTCCATGAACCGTACACAGCAGCTACACACGCCTCTTCAAGTTCTCCAAATACCACCCATTCTATCCCTTTGTACATGTGGTCCTCTCCTCTGGGAAGACATATTCCTCCCTTTTCTAGCTCTCAGAATCCAATTTGTCTCTCAGTGCTTGGTCCAAATCTTTCTCTGTGCACAGAGTTTTTTCCTATGTGCTTAAAACATAGGAGGTATCCAATAATCTTTTTTATGAATAAATGAATGAAGCAACCATTTCATTCATGGCTGATTGGAATTAACTTTTCCTTCCTCTATGTTCCCACTACACTAGAAATGAAACCAGTCAGCACAGCTCTCATTTGCCATTCTACAGCAGTTAAGCTTTACCTGCTTTTCTCCCAGAAGTCTACGACGGCCTTTATTTACCTGCCACCTGTTTTCACCTTGGCAGATGGGGAACATGGCCTTCATTAGAAATCCTCAGCAGAGAACACGGGAGTAATTCACTCATTCCCGCAAACCACTGCCGCACATTCAGCCAGTGACCCACTTTCTAAAACCAACAGTCCTCTGAGAACATGAGAGTCAAAGTTCACCAGGAATACTTACAAATCTTGTGAGGTTTGACTCCTGTCGGGGGTGACTCTTCGCTGCTGGGCTTGAGGTTGCTGAGAAATGATTAAAGATGATTTATTGTCAGAAGGGGATACCTTGTGATGAAAGTCAAGGGGATGAGAAACAGTGCTGCAGTAATGAACAGATTTTTCGGCAATGTTTATGATCTCATTGCAAACCGCTTCCTGTGAGGTGGCCCCGAGATATCCAGAAACCCCAATAAAACAGTCAACATGGGGACAAAAAAAAGAAAGAGAGGAAGAGATGTAACATTCCAGATGAAGCACATAAGTCCAGGGAGAAAACAGAGTTGAAGATCCAGGTTAAAAAAATAGATATTCCAGTAGTGGAGTGCAGGAGGGATCCAGGCGTAAGCATGGAAAAACAGGTAAGATACAGAAGAATTTGGAATTTAGTATAAATATTAAAAAAAAAAAAAAGAAGGCAGCAGCATACAAGCCTGTCATTAGTGAGTAACTGTTACAAATGTAATACTTTAGGGTAGAAATGCAAGTATGTATCCCCAATCATGCACTAATATATTAATTTAATCCCACATATAGGCAGAGTAGAAATATTGTCTCTACACTCCTCTGCTTTTTTCCAGGGGTTGGGGTAAGGGAATGGCCTAACATCTCGCTCTACTACAACAGCCACAGAATTCTTGTAAATAATGGTTCTGTGGGTTAACCAGGCATCACTCTAGTCTAGATTCTAGAAGGATCAGTAAGGATTCTCTTTAGAAAAGCTGCAGTCTTATTCAACAGGCATCTTACCACATAGCTCTTTTCAGATTCTGTGAGATCAGGTCCTGCTCTCAATGAATGATGAGAAAGCTGTGATCACCAAGCAAATTATAAGGGAGACATTTTAGCAGATGTCACATTGGAAAGGATTCAAAATAAAAGCATGAGCAAATCCACGTACCACACCATCACGCTTGGATGACACCGGATACTGGCGGCCTATGGCCACCAAGTCTCCACAACAACACGGTGGGTGCACAGAAGAAAATGCAAATGTAGAGTTAGAAGCAAGCATCCAGGAAATGAAATGGGAAATTGGAAACATGGCTGCAGTGAAGTGAGGATGAACACCACAGGGTCCCCAGATTGGTAGGAGACAGACACAGAAAGGCCGTCTTAGCCATGTCCCTCCACACACATTGGTCTTCTCACACTCAGCTAGTAAGCATCTAGGGGAGGCTGTTGAACCCAAAGCCAGCTTCAGTTATTTTATTGACTGGAAGCTCCTTCCAGCAGAGCAAGCTCATAGAACCATCAGGTCTGCTATATTTCAGAACTTATAAAAACTGAAACAGGGGATAACATTTTTGAAAACTTCCTTGGCAATATCTGAAGTATCAACCAAGACCATTCCCCTGGAAAATCTGCACATGACATACTCCAGTGAGGTATGAGATGAGTTCAGATAGCTTGTAGGACAGAACTTGCTTCCAGAAATAGGACTGTATGTGACCAAACTGTCACTCTTCACTTACCAACCCAGGTACCACGTGCTGACATAGAAACACAGATGCAAACATGGCCAAGCAGACCCGCCTTTTGAGTGGGGCTTCCACTGCAGGGGCCAAGCCTTCACTGGAAGAATGTTTGGAACTATGTCCCTCAGAGAGGATTCAATTCCAAGCTCTAGGAATTTTTTCTAAATAAATACTTTGAAGAGCCATCCTTGAAAAAAAATCTTCCAGGTAACAAGCAATAATAGCAACAGGCCAGCCCGGCATGGTGGCTAATGCCTGTAATCCCAGCACTTTGGGAGGTCAAGGCGGGAGGACTGCTTAAGCTTGGAAGTTGGAGACCAACCTGGGCAACATGGCAAAACCCCGTCTCTACAAAAAATACAAAAATTACCCAGGTGTGGCAGCATATACCTATAGTCCCAGCTCCTTGGGATCAACTGAGCCCAGGAGATTGAGGCTGCAGTGAGCCATGATTGCACCACTGCACTCCAGCCTGGGTGACAAAGCAAGACCCTGTCTCAGAGAAAAAAAAAAAAAAAAGTAGGCCACAGCTCCAGGGCCTTCTAGACAGGTAGTTAAAAATCTTTTGTGGGCCGGGCGCGGTGTCTCAAGCCTGTAATCCCAGCACTTTGGGAGGCCGAGGCGGGTGGATCACGAGGTCAAGAGATCGAGACCATCCTGGTCAACATGGTGAAACCCCATCTCTACTAAAAATACAAAAAATTAGCTGGGCATGGTGGTGAGTGCCTGTAATCCCCGCTACTCAGGAGGCTGAGGCAGGAGAATTGCCTGAACCCAGGAGGCGGAGGTTGCGGTGAGCCGAGATCGCGCCATCGCACTCCAGCCTGGGTAACATGAGTGAAACTCCGTCTCAAAAAAAAGAAATCTTTTGTGTATGCCCTACTGTTTCACAGAGAGACACAGACAGAGTGAGAGCCTCCCTTGAGGTTACACAGCAAGTTAGTGGTAGGTTTGTCTCCTGGTTTCATCTACTGTCCCACCTGACCTTGTCTTTCATCCTCAGACCATCTTCTACCTTATCAGTGTGCTCACTGAACTCATCTTCAGTGAGTCCCTCAGAAACCCTGGAGTCAGGCAGGACAGGGTTTATCTCTGCTTTCTTAAAAAACCCAGGAAGCTGATGCTCAGAGGGGTTTCGTGCATTCCTCAACATCACACAGCCAGTAAGAGGTAAAGTGGCTTGGCTGCTCTTTCCACTCCACCAGACCACCCCCTCCTGTTCATCTCTACTGTAAATGTCCTCATTCAATAGCACACCCTGCAGGACTAACTTCCATGGCAGGCATCTCCACAATACCCCAGTCCTTTTGGGAAGCCTCTTCAGGTTCTCCAAACCCCTTCTAAAGTGCAGTCACTCAAACCAGTCACCTTGTGCTCTGACAGGAGTGAAGGAAGAGACAGAACTAAAGGGGCCATGACATGCTTCTTCTACAATGACTCTGGATGTTAGGTCTTTGCCAGGTGACTGGAAGCTGACCTTCTGTGGCTCCACTCACCACCCACCCTCCACTCACTGCCTCTGGATTAAGGTGTCCATAACACAAAGGAAAGAAATGGACATTTCCAAGCACCTTCTATGCGGGCTTTCAGAAGAATGAAACTTATTCTGGGCACTTTGAGTGGGTGACAATGACATACAGATTTCAACTTGACAAAAGGGAGAACTTTTGAATAGTCCAGCAATACAAGGGGCTGCCTCAAGAGGAAATGAGTTGCCTGCCATGGCAGCTGTTTAACCTGAGGTTGCTGTGGACTATGACTAATTGGGATATTGTAGAGCCATGCTTCTTAAACTTTAATGTATGCAGCTATCATTTGGGATCCTGTTAAAATGTAGACTCTGACTTGATATACCTGGGCTATATTGTGAGATTCTGCATTTCTATTTGGTAGTGCAGACGCTGCTGGTTCACAGACCAACTTTAGGCAGCAAGGGTGCAGTGGACCTCAACTGCCCCACATTGAGATTCTTTGGTTACAGCATCCCAAGACCGGTGGTCTGGGTCACACCTCATGAAAACAAACGTACTCATAAAAAACAAAGTATTTCCAAATTCCATGGTGGCCTCATGACCTCAGGTCAAATGTGGTATAAAGAGAGGATGTAAACAATCTCCTGGCAAGATCTCCATAGCTTACGGTAACCTAGCATCTTTCAATCAACTTCATTCATCCCAAAGGAGTGACTGGAACCAATTGTCTAGCAAATAATTTGGTGCTGAAAATAGGATCAGTGAATCAGATATATTAAAAAGAACCTGATATTTTATAAGCAGATATAGGTCCATTACATATCTGACTTTTGTACTAAGCTTCTGACTTCAGGAGTGCAGAACAAGGAATTTAAGGCTCAGAGAAGTTCCAGCCCAGGCACCAATTTTTTTTTTTTTTTTTTTTTTTTTTTTTTTTATGAGAAGGAGTCCTGCTCTGTCACCCAGGCTGGAGTGCAGTAGCACAATCTAAGCTCACTGCAACCTCTGCTTTTCAGGTTCAAGCAATTCTCCTGCCTCAGCCTCCCAAGTAGCTGGGATTACAGGTACAGGCCACCACACCCAGCTAATATAGTTTTAGTAGAGACAGAGTTTTACCATGTTGGTCAGGCTGGTCTCAAACTCTTGCCCTCAAATGATCTGCCCACCTCGGCCTCCCAAAGTGCTGGGATTACAGGCATGAGCCACCACACTCAGCCCCACTTCTACACTCTCTTGTCCTTTCAGGAAGCATCTTCAAGTTCTCCAAACCCCTTCTAAACTGCAGTCACTCAAACCAGTCACCTTGGATTCTGACAGGAGTAAAGGAAGAAACAAAACTAAAGGGGCCATTTCATGCTTCTTCTACAATGTCTCAGAACGTCGGGCCTTTGCCAGGTGGCTGGGAGCTGACCTTGTGAGGTTTGTTGCACAAGGCAGTGTGAGAGCTGAGCCCTTTGATGTCTAATCTCCATATACCACCTGCCACCCACCTCTTGGGTCATGATTAGATTGCTTGTGTAACTATGATAGCAACACCCAATTTCTGTCTCATCTGAAAACAGGCACTAGCTATCATTCCCTTCTTGTATACTTTTAACTCAAGGTGTTCAAAGGCATTTCCTTATATAAAAGATATGGCATACAGAATAGTGTCTGATCATTAACCGTGAACTTCAGTACTGGAAAGGATGGGATACTGAGGCCCACCTTGTACCTTCCTTGGTCTCAGGCCATACCCAAAGCTAACGATCATCATCATCATAACTTTAACATCTGTATGGTACAAACAACCCCATTCCTGAGAGGTAGGGATGACTGGGTACCTCACTCAGGGTTTGTTGAATAAATGAAGGAAGAAGGCAAGATAAACATTTATTCTATTAGCTAAGACTCAATTTCTCTCTGTTTAGATTTAAGTGAAATAGCACATATAACTGAAATGTAAACCAGTTTTTTTCAGGGGATGAAGACATGGCATGGAAGTAGAACCTAAGTGGAAATGGAGACCATTACTGCCCATCACAAGAATCAGCCCTTCATTTTGAAGGCTGTTTACCCTAAGATTTTTTCCCCCTCTAGGTATTTTTTTTTCTTTTCCTGTCCCCATTTTCTAATCACTTCACAGCTTTATACGGTGCTTCTTCTGGACCTGTCCTGTCCAAGATGATAGCCAGTAGCCACAGCTGGCTGTTGGACACTTCAGATGTGGCAGATATGAAGTGAAATGTACTATACATTTCATATACACTATATCCAGTGTATATGAAAGTATACACTGGATTTCAAAAAATTAGTATAAAATAAAGAATGTAAAATATCAGTAATAATTTTTAGATATATTAGGTTATAATATATTAAAATTAATTTCAGTTGTTCCACTTTACTGTGTCTACTAGAACATTTTAAAATCACACATGTGGCTCACATTATATTTCTACTAGACAGTGCTGCTCTGAACCCTCCCCAGGTCCTTAGCATCTGCCCTTATTTAAGCCTAAGAGAAGATGCAAGTTCTAAATGAGGACTTCATCTAAGGTTAAGAATAAAGGGAATATTATCTCATGCTAAGGACATTTCCGACTCTGGTGACTCATTCCAGTTTTTCACGTGTTCACAAAAACAACCAGCCTAGTGCATGCCTGCATACACACACACACACACACACACACACATGCACACACACACACACATACACAAATATACACACACTGTACTCCCCTCCTTTCCACTGTTAATAGTAAGCAGGTGACAGTCCTTGATCCAGAAACTGCTTTCTTCCGTATTTGTACACAAGTCGCCTCTCCTGGCCTGGAGTGCTTGTTTCATCCTCCCCAAGTGGGTGACCCTGCATGTGTCCTTG